GTGTTGCTCAGGCCACTTAGCAGGAAAGCTTTCTTTAAAGCAACACTATCCAAATGCGTTAACTCCCATCATTTTTAGCCATTAATAATGTTTTTTTTAAAGATTGATAGGAATGTAGGCCAACCTCTCTGGAAGATGAGTTCAGAGAGGCTGGATTTGGACACCCGTACTTCGTTTGACAAATGACGCCTCTTGTTGTTTTGTTTCTACCTCCAGAAGCCAGTGCTAAAATGAAGGCTGGAGTGCAAAGTGCCTTTGAGGAGGTCGTCATGAGGATCCTGCAAACTCCAGAGCTTTGGAACATCGGAAGAGAGGGAGTGAAGTTGTCAGAAAGCAGATCCTTCAGAGAAGCAGCTGCCTGCAATTCCTACTGTTCTGTTGCTTAACACCCTATGTGTTCAAATAAAAAAAGACCCAGGCCAAAGATTCTAAGAAATGGGCTCTCATCCCTGGTATCACATTAATCCTTTTCATCTTGGGTGGACAACCTAGAGTGGGCAAGAGCAACAACAAACAGGATGAATCATAAAAAATAAAGAACCAGGACTTTTCATTTCCATCCTCCTCCAGCCCCAGTCATTGGGAGTTTTCAGCAAGATAAGATTTTACCCGTTTATAAGAACATTATTAGTGAATAACTACATTTTTCACATGATTCTCAATTAAAAATGGCAATAAATCATAGCATTAAGCTGCAAGTCAGGAGACATTTAACTGGCAAACAACAGTCAAGGAAGCTCTAAAAGCTACCAAATGAGGTTTGTAACCCACAGGTGCCCCTGGGATTACAGGTTGCCCACCCACTCTGATATACTGAACTGAGTCCAGCAGATTTTATTTCCTTCAGATGAGGGAACATTGCACACTAATTTCTGCTCACAAAGCAACTAAAGTAGCTTGGGAGGAGGTTCCTCAAGCAAGCCACACAATTCTTAATATCAGAGGGCTCTCAAAGATCCTTTCACCTTCTGCCAATTCACAGTTTTTGTATTCTTTCTGTCCTTCAGACTGCCAGCTTCTCTGTTACACATATAACACACAGTTCTTTTGCTGTTTCCTCCAGATGGCAGTCACCATCTCCAAATTGTGATGGCATATTATTATTATTATTTTTAAAAAAATTGTCTGCCAGCTGAGATACTCTTAACCAATCACTTCAGTTCATGAAATATCAACAAGTTTTTCCTCTTAATTTAACCAGTTAACTAAAAACAAGAAACTATCTTACACAGTTTCACATATTATGAATCATCTTTGGCTTTGGCTTCCCATAGTTTCACATAACCATGAGTTAGTTTGGTGTTTGCTTAATGCATTACATGAAGCCAGGTGCTATGCATTGGTTTACAATTAAGGATATTATATAATTATTGTAATTTCAGACCTCTTCTGAATATTATTCCTGTATTATTGTTATATACTGCCCAGAATCACTCATTTAGAGATAAGCAGCTATATAAATTTGTTTGATAAATATAAAGGAAAGAAAGAAAGAAGAAAGGAAAGAAAAAGAATTAAAGGCCTTTTAAAACATCTAATTAATACATTTTTGAATTGCTGCTTAATGTTAAGATTGTTCAGAATTATTTATGTTAAGCCGGATAAGTTAAATCAATGTGGTAAATGCAAACATTGCAACTAAAACTAAAAAGGATTTGTAATCATGACCAACATAGCAAAAATCCATTTTTGTAGCAAAATTTCAAATGAACCTCTCCCAGAACGGAATTGAACTGCTGAGAAGCTACCCAAGAAAAATCCTTCACAAATGTCCATCAGTTTCATATATGCATAATGGGAGACAGAATACTTTCAGAAAGTGAATAAAGGGGAAAATTCCTAGGAATATCTTGACCTGTAGAATTTCACCATTGTATAAGCTAAAAAGCAACATCTGGCAGTCTTGGCAGATTTTAAAAAGCTAAGCAGAATTGAGATCTGGTTAATATTGGATCAGGGTAATCTGTAGCCAAGGATATCAAAATGGTGAATGCAATTGGGAGATCAAAGCTTCACCTCTTTCTATGTGCTTTTCAATGTGCCTCACCTCTTTCTATATGCTTCTGCCAACATTCCCAACTTTCCTGACAAGGGGATCATCAGGAGCTCCCAGCACTTGGGAGTTGGAAAAGAATGGCAGCCATTCTGTCTATTCCTTCTGAGAGAACTGCATGGATGTGTCTATGAAGTCACTGAAAATTAAGTTCAGTTCAAAGGAGATTGTCCCCTTTATGTGATTTATATATCATGTTAGAGACCGGGTTTTGTCTAGTGGTTAGGAGAGTCGATTAAGAGCTGGGTTCTGGATGGGTGGGATTCGAAATTTTTAACAACCGGTTCTGTGGGCGTGGCTTAGGTGGTGGACGTGGTTTGGTGGTCATGTTATTGGCTGGGTGTGGCCACCTCAATATCACTCACATCGAGGCCCGCATCTCCTCGCCTGGCCTCTCATGACTGGGGATGCTGCAACAGTCGTAAGTGTTAAAAATGGTCATTAATCACTTTTTTCAGTGCCATTGTAACTTTGAATGGTCACTCCACACAAGCAAAGTACCAGCAAAGGAGGGGGAAAAAACTCCAGAGACATTCCTGAGACAGGAAGTCTAGTCCTGCCAAGAATGTAATAAGGGTTAGTGGAGAGGCAGTTTCTGTAAGCAACACCAGAAAGTTTCCTTCCTGCCTTCCTTACAGGATTAGGTCAGTAATTTCTTCTAACAACCGGTTCTCCGAACTGCTTAGAATGTTAACAACTGGTTCTGGCGAATAGGTGTGAACTGGTAGAATCTCACCCCTGGTTCTGGTGCCCAGTCAAGCATGCAAACCAACTGTGTGATCTTTGCTGGTGACTCCTTCTCAGCCCTGGGAAGGAAGCAGTAGTGAATTACTTCCAAAACTGTTGTCTAGAAAACTGCAGGGACTTGTCCAAGTAGTAACCAGGAATCAAATCTGACTTGAATGTAAGAGAGTGGGAAGAACTGGAGACTCTGGGCATGCCACCATGGGAGTTTTGAGCTTCACATAACATTTCTAGCTGAGAAGCAAAGAGTCTTAAGGATTTGGGCTTTTTCTTATCTGAACTGTCTAGGTCTCCAACTCTCTGTCTCTCCGAAGAACCCCCATCCAAGAAGAGTTAATTGAAAAAGATCCGGAAACTTGCCCCTCTTTCCTCTATCATGCCATACCTCCAGTACACCAGAGGTGGTATTCAGCAGGTTCTGACCAGTTCTGGAGAACCAGTAGCGGAAATTTTGAGTAGTCAGGAGAACCGGCAAATACCACCTCTGACTGGCCCTGCCCCCATCTATTCTCTGCCTCCCAAGTCCCAGCTGATAGGCTGGGTCTTCTCTTGTTGCCCTGCACAGGAGAACGGAGCTGGAAAGCAGGTTCATGGGGTGAGGAGGGAATGGAGATTCTGAAGTATCCTTCCGCTGCCATGCCCACCAAGCCACGCCCACCAAGCCACGCCCACAGAACTTGTAGTAAAAAAAATTCGAATCCCACTGCTGCAGTACACGTTTTAAATGTTTGTTAAAGGAAGCACACCAACATGCCTACCATCCCTGTCCTATTGTTTCTTTTATTTTATTTTTATTTTTTCCTATATGTATCCATGTATTCATAACTATGTTTTTACTTATACCTATTATCTTGTAAGCAATTGACAAAAATAAATAAATAAAATAAAATGAATGAATGAATGAATGAATGAATGAATGAATCTTAAATCAGGGATCCTTTGTTTTTGGGGACAGTGAACCCAATAAATCCTTACTGTGCTATAATCATTTTTATAAAATAGCCAGCATGGTTGGCATGGCTACTTAAAAATCTTCCATTTACCAGATGAACATACTTTCAAACAATGGACACAAAGTACATTCCCTGTTGTTTTTAATTCCAAGATAAAGGTTGAGACCGCTGATTTGCAGCACGCTAGCTTCCTTGCATATTTATTCATTTAATTGAAAAAACTCTTACCAAAAATAAGAGTCTGCTGGGGCATGGAGCATAATGTGACTCAAAGGATGAATATTCGTGTTCATCTGACCTTAGAGATGGGTTCCCATTATTCCTTTCCACTTGCTCCCTCCCACTGATGATATTCTCTGCATAAAATTCTCCTTTTTCCTCTGCTACCTTGACTAACAAGGTAAACTTTTCTATTGTGACATCATCTTCTCCGCATCATTCCACATTCTGTGTTGAACTGGCTTGGGAGACAGTCCAGGTTCAAGTTCATCCTCATTTGTGGAAACTTACTACAGCCAATCATTTTCTTCCTCTGTTTCCCTCCCAGCGTTACTGTTATGAGGGTAAAATAAAGAAAGCATCCTGCGTGTGCCATAGAAAGCAGTTTTGTTCATTTTCAGAAACTTTAAAATGTCTGAACATCAACTCCCAGAATTCCCAACCAGTAGAATTCTGAGAATTGATGTTCAGATATCATAAAGTCAGGGGTGGGATTCAAATTTTTTTACAACCGGTTCTGTGGGCGTGGCTTAGTTGTTGGGCCTGGCTTGGTGGTCATGTTAGGCCAACTCAATATCACTCACATCGAGGCACACATCTCCTCGCCTGGCCTCTCATGACTGTGGGGATGCTGCAACAGTTGTAAGTGTGAAAAATTGTTGTTAATCAGTTTCAGCCTAGGTGTCAGAATTGATGGAAAGTCTCTTTTTGTTTTATTGGCAAGTCAGGGATGGATGGGGTGGGTGAGTGGCATGGAAAGCAGAGGGTGGTACAGAATTTTTCTTCCCACAGAGATTAATTAAGCTAAAGCTTTGGCTCTGAGCAATAAGCCACAACAAATAAATTGGGAGATGATCTGTATGACAGGGAGTTGGGGACACAATGCTATCTTCTTATGGCATTTCACAGTCCGTGATGTCACAACTGGGGCATCTATGGCAACGTTGGCCAAAGGGGAGGGGTGATGCAGAAGCTAAGCTCAGAGTTTTGCCTTTTCTTTTGAGATCTGAGAAGAGAGCGGCTGTGCAAAGATGAGCAGCTTAGAAGTCGTCACATTCCCCGTGGTTGTTGCCAGTTCCAGGCAGAGATTCAACTTGGCAAAGAATAAATCCCGCACAGGAGAATTCACTTTTCGAGGCAAAATAGAATTGGGTAGGCTTCTTCCAATCCTTCTTTTGCTTAGTGTTAAAATCTGAGAGACTGAGGGACTGAGGCACATTTATTTCAAAGTCAGCCCTATGGCTTTCCATTTGGGCTGTATTCAATGCAAAGAATCATAGATTGATAATATATCAGCCTTTGACAGATTTGACAGACCAACTGACACAACTGAGAAATGGGAGGGAGGGGGTTACAAGCAATCAGCAAGAGCTTGTTAGAAACTGCGCTGAATGAAAGACTCCAGAAAATGACCCAGGTAACAATGTCTGTGCTTATTTTGAATTGGAATTTTTGTCTACTATAAAGCAAATAAAGGGCTACATTTTGAAAGCAGATGGGTCTACAACCATGAAGAGGGTAGATCTTTAAGGGGTGAAATGTGAGTCTTAAACTTCTATAAACTTTTTTTGAATGTACCTGGTGCTTTTGGTCCCATTTATTTTAAATAAGCCACAGGGGTCATTGTTCAAAAGACAAGCAGTTGCCCAGAAGTGATTGCTTACCAAGCTGCATCATAACCCAGTCTATTTATTTTACTTAGTATGACATGCAAATTGACCGTCCACCCCTTAGTGCCTTATGCAAATTACGCTTCTTGAGGTTGTTTGAGAGAATTTAGAACTTAGCCTGGTAGAAGATTTACTAAAAGTAGAACAGAGCAAGAAACAAAAAGCAGAGGCCCAAAAATATGTATAATTTAAAACTAGTTTAGATGACACGATAGAAAGGCGATGTATGTGGGAGGAAGTACATTTTTCTACTAGACGAAGAAAAGCTAACCTACTCTTGCCATGGATTCATCAGCATCAACTTTGTTCTAATAATTGCAAAAATCTTCATCCACCCCCTGATTATTTCCTATGCTTCTCCAATGGTTACTCCCCTTTGCAGTTGCTTCTCTCCCCCATTATTACAAATCCATCACCTCCTGATAGCTGCTCACAAGCATGGCTGTCCTGTTGCGATTAGCTTTTATTTATACTTAGACTTGAGGACTATATTTCCACTGTTCAAAAGGGTTTGCAGCACAAAATTAAAATATCAGAAAGCATTAAAGGAACTCTTATTTTAAAATCACTGTAGCAGTCTTTCAAAGCCTCACAAAAACAATCAACATTAAACTCAATGCAAAGAGCAGCTTGAGCAAATGTGTCTTTAGGCATCTAAACAATTGTTGGATATTCAACAATTGTTCAATGTCTGGTAAGATATTCCGTATCCACAGCCTATCTTTCTCTATTTTCTACAGTTCTCAAAGGGTTACCGTTCAATTAAATAATCATAATCTTCAAAAAGTAATAAGAACTGCCTATTCCATTTAGACCAACTGTGTTTGTATCCATGTATCTTGTCAAAGTTAGAACAAAACAGGCTATAAAAGAGGGGTTTTGAATAAATCACTACTGATTGTCCTTGATTTACAACCACAATGGGGAACATAATTTCTGTTGCTAAGCAAGGTGGTTGTTAGATGAGTCATGCCTGATTTTACAACCTTTTTGCCATGGTTGTTAAGGGACTGACTGCATTGGTTGAAAGAATCATGCAGTCATTAAGCAAAACTGGCTTCCCTCATTGTCTTTGCTTGTCAAAAACTGGCTGGGAAGGCCACAGATGGCAATCACATGACTCCAGGATGCTGCAACCATTGTAAATACATGCCAGGTGTCAAAGTGTCCACACTTTAATCATATGAACATGGGGATGCTGTGACAGTCATAATTGTAAGGACTGGTCATAAATTATTATTTTTCAGTGCCATTGTAATTTCAAATGTACCTAAACAAACAGCTGTAAATCAAACACTATCTGTATTGCATAACTTTCCATTGGGTGGGTTTCCTAATATTTCATTGCTGAGTGTTCTATTGCAGGGGTCCCCAAGCCTCCTGGGTCGTGGCCACTACTTCACCCGAAATCATTGCCTATTTGCAACTGGGCGTGTGAATGGCGGGCCGGCGGGCACGCGCAGTTCAACTCACACAAGCAGCAGACCAGTACATATGCATGCACAGCTCGACTCGTGCAAGTGGTGGGCTGACAGACCTGCACATGTACAGAAAGCTCAACTAGTCAAGCTGCATGTGTGCAAGCCCGGTGTCTTATGGCCCCATTCTCCTTTCCCGCCTCAGCCAAGCCGCTAAACCACAAAGATTGGGAACCACTATTCTGCTGGATTCTGTTCATGTAGTTCTTCCATCTGTTAATCGTAGTTATCTTGCAAGGCTCATAGTTCCATACACCATATGGAATCATGCAGAATAATAATAGCTTATTATTATGTTGTTTGAACACAGTTTTACATTTGCCGTCATGCAAACCTAAAACATTTGGTTAACTGATAAAACCATAAATTAGCCATGAGATTGCATGATATGGTAAATCCTCTTCTGGGATTACAGAAATGTGAATGTGTCAGATTATTGTCGCTAAGAAGGACTTACCCATAATAATGCTATAATTCAAATATGTGGACTTCCTCTCCCAAAATCCCTCAGTCTTGCTTAGAATTCTGGGAACTGTTCCACACATAAGCAGAATACCCAGGATGGGAAAGCAGTCCAAAGTATAATCTTTGAGACAAAGTATAATCTTTGAGACATGCTTGCATTGCAACTGGTGAAAAGATACTATCACATGCTATGCAATGATTTCAGGTGAAATTCATATGAAATCTTCCAATAGTAGCAATGGGGCATTGCTATAAAGTCAGATACATACAGTATAAAGTCAGAAATATAACTTGAGTGGCAGATCAGGTCAGAAATAGAAAAATATTCTGTAATACTAAGACGTATTACCTAAGAAGAACATCAAATGGCAACATTTTAATTGGGAAAGAGAGTAATGATATTTAAACAGGGAGACAGTAGCACTTTCAATCCAATTGTCACAGTTCAGCGTGTAACTCATTCAAACCACACCTTATCAAACTCATTCTATCTAACATATCCCAGAATACCCACGGGTACCCTGATATTTAGACTACCACAAGACTATTAATAGATTGGCCACTCTTCACCTTGCAGCTTGCCATGGACCAGATGACTTCACCAAGCTGATGCTTTGCAGATTGGCAGAACTTTCCAACCTGTCCTTGTAAAGCAAGATATTGCAAAAAAAAAAAAAAAAAAAAAATCCACTCTGTCAATCTCTGCTCTTAAGACTATGCTCTCCTTGCCTTTGGGCCTGGTACAGAGGTGATATTCAGCAGGTTCCGACCAGTTCTGGAGAACCAGTAGCGGAAATTTTGAGTAGTTTGGAGAACCGGCAAATACTACCTCTGACTGGAGATTTTACGGTATCCTTCCCTTGCCATGCCCACCAAGCCACACCCACAGAACTGGTAGTAAAAAAATTCCAATCCCAACACTGGTCTGGGAGCTGGAAATATCTCCAGCTTGATTGGAGGATGCTATATTTGTAGAGAGTAAGGGAGATGGTCTTGATGAAATATACAAGAACTATCGCCAAGACAAAAAGGGCTGACACATTCTTTACATTCTGGAAGCAAGACAATATTTGGCGGTGTCTCAGGCAAACAGGGGTGAGGGATAGCACAATTAAACTTTCAAGATTCTATTATTGTGGCCTATCTTAATGAAGTGTACTTCTAGTCTTTCTGCAGAGTTGATTTTCTGGTGTGGTCTATCTAACGGAGCTGCCAATGTATCTTCACCATCTTTTATCTGCTTTCTCCAGCCAGGAGCAAGGTAGATAATAGTTCTCCAGATGCACAGACTCATCATTATTTCAAAGTCTCTAAGATACAGGTAAGGAAGCCTCCTTTTGTTATGGATAGAGGATCTTTCATACTTAAATGATGTATTTCTCACTTTCTTTTCCTTTCTGCTCCACAAAAATGAGTCAGCATACAGAATCCTTATTTTTTTCTCTGCACTCCTTATTCCAGATACCAATTATTTCTTGAAAAGCTTGTTTCCTCTTCCCCTAAAAAACCTGTTCAAAAAAATAAAGGGAACACTTAAACAACATAATGTAACTCCAAGTCAATCACACTTCTGTGAAATCAAACTGTCCACTTAGGTAGCAACACTGATTGACAATCAATTTCACATGCTGTTGTGCAAATGGAATAGACAACAAGTGGAAAGCAGAGGCAGTTAGCAAGACATCCCCAATAAAGGAGTATATCTGCAGGTGGTGACCACAGACCACTTCTCAGTTCCTATGCTTCCTGGCTGATGGTTTGGTCACTTTTGAATGCTGGCAGTGCTTTCACTCTAGTGGTAGCATGAGACGGAGTCTACAACCACACAAATGGCTCGGGTAGTGCAGCTCATCCAGGATGGCACACCAATGCAAGCTGTGGCAAGAAGGTTTGCTGTGTCTGTCAGCGTAGTGTCCAGAGCATGGAGGCGCAACCAGGAGACAGGCCAGTACATCAGGAGATGTGGAGGAGGCCGTAGGAGGGCAACAACCCAGCATCAGGACTGCTACCTCCGCCTTTGTGCAAGGAGGGGCAGGAGGAGCACTGCCAGAGCCCTGCAAAATGACCTCCAGCGGGCCACAAATGTGCATGTGGCTGCTCAAACGGTCAGAAACAGACTCCATGAGGGTGGTATGAGGGCCTGACGTCCACAGGTGGGGGTTGTGCTTATAGCCCAACACTGTGCAGGACCTTTGGCATTTGCCAGAGAACACCAAGATTGGCAAATTCGCCACTCGCGCCCTGTATTCTTCACAGATGAAAGCAGGTTCACACTGAGCACATGTGACAGACGTGACAGGGTCTGGAGACGCCATGGAGAATGTTCTGCTGCCTGCAACATCCTCCAGCACGACCGGTTTGGCAGTGGGTCAGTAATGGTGTGGGGTGGCATTTCTTTAGAAGGCCGCACAGCCCTCCATGGGCTCGCCAGAGGTAGCCTGACTGCCATTAGGTACCGAGATGAGATCCTCAGACCCCTTGTGAGACCATATGCTGGTGCGGTTGGCCCTGGGCTCCTCCTAATGCAAGACTATGCTAGACCTCAGGTGGCTGGAGTGTGTCAGCAGTTCCTGCAAGACGAAGGCATTGATACTATGGACTGGCCCGTCCGTTCCCCAGACCTGAATCCAATTGAGCACATCTGGGACATCATGTCTCGCTCCATCCACCAACGCCACATTGCACCACAGACTGTCCAGGAGTTGGGGGATGCTTTAGTCCAGGTGTGGGAGGAGATCCCTCAGGAGACTATCCGCCATTCTCATCAGGAGCATGCCCAGGCATTGTAGGGAGGTCATACAGGCACGTGGAGGCCACACACACTACTGAGCCTCATTTATGACTTGTTTTAAGGACATTACATCAAAGTTGGATCAGCCTGTATTGCTTTTTTCCACTTTAATTTTGAGTGTAACTGCAAATCCAGACCTCCATGGGTTGCTAGATTTGATTTCCATTGATAATTTTTGTGTGATTTTGTTGTCAGCACATTCAACTATGTAATGAACAAAATATTTAATAAGAATATTTCATTCATTCAGATATAGGATGTCTTATTTTTGTGTTCCCTTTATTTCTTTGAGCAGTATAGTTTAACTTTAGAACAGGATACTATCTAATATTTACTGAGAATACAATCATTGAGGCAATTCAGATTTTTCAGTAATGTTTTACTGTATAACCATCTTAAATCAAGAATTTTTTTCTTTGGAGTAAATTCTACATTTGCTCTTACAGTACAAGCACAGGCTTAAAATCCATAGCGCAAGTGCTGAGAATAAAAAAATTAGCAGTGTGAAAATATTCTCCCCACAATACTCCTAGACTGAAGCTGTTTTTCTTAGAAAAGAAAAAAACCTATGAAAATTGTTGCATAGCAATACATGCTTGTTCTAAGTTTCATTTGTTACCTCCTATAAAGTTGGGTTGTTGCATAATCAGGAGAACTAAGAAGATGTCACTTTGGCCTCCCATAAAGCTACCATATATGAGGTACAAATGTTCAGATGATTATTAGATGGCAATAAAGACTGGTACCCTACCTACGTGTCTGTGTGAAGACCTGTAAACAGCTTGAAATTTCAAAAGTGAGAAAAAGAACAACTCAAACAATGAATCCATTATTTATATGCAGAAAGACTCCATTTCAAACTAATAGAGATGGCCACTGCTCCTATCTGAAATGCTAAAAAGATGTGATGTTCTTCAAAATAACTAAATATTGTGGTTTACTTATAAAACCATGGTTAGCAAATCATAACTAAGAGCCAAGATGGATCATCTTCATCTAGTGCTAAGTCAGAATTCAAAATTTTCCATCCCAATTTGAAATATTTATTTAGAAGTAAACCAGATCCCAAGAGCTTGACAATATTGGAGATACCTCCAGCTTTTCTCAAGATACAATTATTTCTGGATCTCTTATTACAGACGCAATATCAAATGTATTCATCCTAAAAATAAATCATCACTTACAAAAAAGGATTGTTCAGAACTGTGATTAAAAAAATAGGAACAATTTTTTCTTTTAATAAACTACTGAGAGAGCTTATTATTTAGATTTATACTCTTCTGGTAAGTCTAATGATTAATCAAATGCCGTCTTTTGTTCAGAAGTTAAAACTCCCCAAGATTATGGAGCAAGACAGGACAGAGAATCCAAATTATCCACAGAAAGGGAGGGGGGAAAATCCCTTTAGATTATTTCTCTTTCTAGAATTTTACAAAACGTTCTCTCCAATGCTAGAAGAATGATTGCTCAAAGTTATGAATAAAATTATTACATGCAGGAAGTATAAGAGAAGAAAAGATAGCAGTATCCACAGTGATAGAGAAGGAAAAAATGTACAAGAGTTTTCTGAAAGCTCTACACTTCTTTTTTTTTTTTTTTTTTTGACCTTTTGTAATATTTTATTTATTTTATTTATTTATTTTTGTCAATCGCTTACAAGATAATAGATATAAGTAAAAACATAGTTATGAATATATGGATACATATAAGAAAATTTTAAAAAATTAAAAAGAAAACAATAGGACAGGGACGGTAGGCACGTTGGTGCGCTTATGCATGCCCCCTACAGACCTCTTAGGAAAGGGGGTGAGATCAATAGTAGACAGTCTAAGGTTAAAGTTTTTGGGGTTTAAGGAAGAAACCACAGAGTCAGGTAGAGTATTCCAGACATTGACCACTCTGTTGCTGAAGTCGTATTTCCTGCAATCAAGTTTGGTGCGATTAACCTTGAGTTTGTATCTATTGTGTGCTCTTGTGTTGTTATGGTTGAAGCTGAAGTATTCATTGACAGGTAGGACATTGCAATGTATGATTTTATATACTATACTTAGATCGGACCGAAGGCGGCGTAGTTGTAGGTTTTCTAGGTCTAGAATTTTGAGTCTGGTGGCATAAGGTATTCTGCAACGAGAAGAGGAGTGGAGAACTCTTCTTGTGAAATATTTCTGGACTTTCTCAACTGTGTTAATATCAGATACGTAATGTGGGTTCCAGACTGGTGAGCTGTATTCGAGTATTGGGCTAGCAAATGTTTTGTATGCTCTAGTTAGTAGTGTAATATTACCAGAGAAAAAGCTACGCAGGATTAGGTTAACAACTCTTAACGCCTTTTTGGCTATGTAGTTACAGTGGGCTCTAGCACTTAGATCATTAGAGATGAGTACTCTAGGTCCTTGACAGAGTTTGTATCATCAACAAGGTCTTGACTATTCAGCCTGTATTTTATTTTCTGATATATATTTTTTTTGCCAATATGTAGAACAGAGCATTTATTTGTTGAGATTTGAAGTTGCCATTTGCTTGACCATTCTGATACATAATCAAGGTCTTTTTGAAGGGTAGCAGTATTGTCTGTGGTGTTGAATAGCTTCACATCATCAGTGAAGAGAACGCAGTTGCTCTTGATATGATCACAGAGGTCATTTATGTAGAGTATGAAAAGAGTTGGTCCTAGAACACTGCCTTGGGGGACACCACTGTTGACAGGTACAGAATTTGATAGGACACTCCCAATTTTGACCATTTGTTGTCTGTTTGACAGGAATGCTTCTATCCAGTTATGCAGGTGTCCAGGGATACTGTATGATTTTAGTTTTAGGAGTAGTTTGTCATGTACCACTGAATCAAAGACTTTACAGAAGTCTATGTAGATTGCGTCTATTGCTTTGCCCTGATTGAGTTGTGTAGTCCATATGTTTTTGCAATGTAAGAGTTGCAGATTACATGATAGTTTTTTCCTGAAACCAAATTGTTTATTAGAGAGTAGGTTGTCTCTAATTGGAGGATGATGGATTGGTTAATAATTGATTCCATGACTTTACACGTGACACAGCATAAAGAGATTGATCTGTAATTTTCAACTAGGCTGGGGTCTCCCTTTTTGAAGATGGGGATGACCATGGCTTCTGACCATAGTTTTGGCAAGGAGCTGGTCCTGAAAGATTTTTCAAAGATTATGCTTAGAGGTTCGGCTATGGCAGTGGATAGCTTTTTTAAGAAGTAGGCACATATTCCGTCTGGTCCAATAGATAGAGATGGTTTTAGATTGCTTAGTGCTTTTTCAACATTGTCTTTTGTAAAGTCGATATGTATTAGATCATTGTAGTTTTCTGTGGTTCGACTAGGAAATACTGGGCATGATCCATTGCTGTTTACAAATACTGAGCCAAAGAATGTGTTAAAGAGGTTGGCTTTAATAGTCTTTACCATTAGATCCTCTCAGGGGTAAGATGGACCTTGAGTCTTTTAGTTCATTCATTATTATTTTTATCATTATTATTACTTCTATATAATTATTATTAATTAGATAATTATTTATTAGATAATTATTTATTATATAATTATTATATAATAATTTTTAATAATTATTATTATTAATAATTATTATATAATTATTACTTCTATCATTACTGATCTCTGATCAAGTTGCTGAAGGCTGATAACATTTTTAGTCTTCTAAAAGACCTTTCCTTGGCCTAACTCAAGGGATCCATGTAATTTTCTGTCTCTTCTTAGTCATGATTAAATCTGTAGTAGCCCTCCCAAGTGGTTGCCTTCTGGATATGTTTCAAAGCTGCCAACTGCCAGAAAGCTGTCATGAATATTCATACCTGGACTTCATCAGATTGGGGAAGACAAAGCTGTATGATTTGGGGGTTAATGGGTTTGAGAGAGACCTGGGATTCTACGTATTTCCACTCATCATTGGAAAATTGAATTTTAATAATTCATGTAAATATAATATGACTGCAATACCACAGAAAAGCAACAGAAGTGAAACAAATAAAAAATGTCAATTGCATTGTATTATGAAACATTAGTTTTTTTTCTTTTTCATAATTCAAAGTGGCTGCTTTTTCCTATTTCCCCCCTTTCATTTTCTCTGGTTTTTAATTGCTTTTTCTTTATTATTATTATTATTTTTGCTTGTAGCATTTTATTTTTTGAAGTAGGTTAAATGAAATAAAATGAATTACTTGTGTTCTTGTCATTACATCATTACTTGCATTGATTCAGAAATCAAATTAACCAATTGGTACCATTACACTTCTATTCGTTGGTCTGTCTGCTTGTCCATCTGTCCATTCGTCCATCCAGTTACAAATCCAGATGATCACTAGATGGCTGCAAGTGTTTTTGTAATAGTTAGCTGCTATCTAGAAATCACCTGGATGCTTGCAGCCTGGATATAATACAGAGAGAGAGAGGTGGGGGGAGAGGGGGGGAGAGAGAGGGAGGGAGGGAGGGAGAGAGAGAGAGAGAGAGAGAGAGAGAGAGAGAGAGAGAGAGAGCGCTATAATTCTTCTTTGCAGCAAAAATAATAGGGAATATAGAGGAATATTAGTTAAAAACATATAAGGGCAGAGGAATATTAACATTTCTTAGTACCAAGATCCCAGTTAAATTGGGGAAAGAGATTAAAAAGTTTACATTTAATTTTTTAAAATTAGCTCCAATCCTCTTGTCATTAAGGAAAATACAGAAAGCCGCACCCTTTGCCATGTACATCCTTTGGGGGAAAAGGATCCTAAGTTTGATGTCGCCATCAAACTAAATGAGAAGGTTGGTAAAACATGGTGTAAAAAAAACTTGGTTCAGGGCTAGGAACATGGGATGATGTCACAAAACAAATAAAACACAAACAGGGTTTCAACCAGCTGACTTCTCTTTCCACAGGATGCCCAGCGAAGAGTTGGGCTGCTTCAACAAGAAAATAACTCCCTGTGTGTACGTCTAGCTAATATATATCGTGGTTCAGGTATGGTTGATTGCTGGAATGAATATCAACAAAAGAGGTGAGCAGGGGTGACCTACCAATGTTTTAATACAGCATCTACCATTGCACCATTTAAGCTACCTGTCAAGCAGAGCTTCTGTTCCATAATATAGAAAGGATCAATATAAGACTGCTTCAGTCTTGGACTGGGGCAGGTGGGTAGTGGTAAGATAAGAGCAGTGTTGTACGATTAAAGAGGAAACACAGCATTATCAGACTAGTTTGGTGCTGATCTTCAATGGAAGTGACCAAAAGGCTTCATTGTACTGGTGAACTGTGATGGATGAAAATTAGCAGTCCAAAATAGTTTTTTTTTTTCATTTTTAGAAAGAACGTATGAACATTATAGCATAATCCAATTTAAAAGCCAATCCAATTTGTCTAATCCTTATAATGCAATGTCTTTCAACTTTGATAAGTTGTGGACTTCAACTCCAAGAATTCCCCAGACATGCCAGCTGGAGAATTCTGGAAGTTGAAGTCCACTTATCTTAAGGTCGCAAAGGTTGAGAAATACTACTGTAATGAAATTGATTGACATGTTGCCACAGACTGTTTGTTATTACCCTGCTCCTACAGCTCTTTCCCCAAACCAATGAAATGTGAAAAGTTTCCAACCTCAGCGTGATGGAATCACCAAGATGGAAACTGCAATTGTGCAATCAGAACCACATCTTTTTCTTTTTCTTTTTCCCTTGTCATTATGTTATTAGAAGGGAGAGGGCTTCAATTGTGTAGGTGCAGCTGCTCTCTTGACTTCTTTGACACGCCTCCTCTCCCAGATGCCCCTAAGTTTTTCAGGCACCCAGGAGAACTGCTTTCCAACATAATCTTGTACCAGAACACTATTTTTCTGCTTAATTTGACACAAAGCCATGAGTGTAAATTTTATTTCACTTCCCTTCTGCACATTTCACAGGCAAGTGTTTGGGTGACCAAGCTGGTTTGAGCAAACATTGCTAGATCCCAGCAGAAGTGCTTCTGTTGTAGGTGAGCACATGGCAAATACATGATGATGATGATGATCCATTCAGTCAATTATATGGGCCAAGTTTCTCCCCATCTTGCACTATTTCTTTTAAGTTTTCATATGCTCCAGCTTGTGTCAGCTTTGATGGTGTCCAGCCACTGTGTTCTTCCACACATAATTGCTTCCCCCAGTGACTTCCCTTGCATTTGGCCAATGTTAGCAAGATGTAGTTTTGTGATTTTATTTATTAACTACTTACCAGTCAATCAAAATGCTTAAAATATTTTCTACTTTACTATCAGTGATGACCAATATGAATCAACTGAAACAGGGCAATCAAACTGCTGTAACTCTATCCAAGCAAGACATTCTACCATTCCCAAAGGGCTAAGCTGTGCATAAGAAACTTTATCATGGCCCTACATTGTCCCAGTGAAGGGGGAAAATGAGATTGCTGTAGATCTGGAGCCCACCCCTATTCTAAGGGAAGCGAGCCTTAGTTTTCAGGATGATCAAAGGTTCATCAAAGTCTGGCAACTGTGGTCATAAAATCCTAGCAGAGGGAAACTAGGAGGTTGTGGATGAAAGACAGAAAGAAATGCAGAAAGTTGAAAAAGAGAGAAGAGGAAGAGAGATTGAGGATGTAGAATTGAATAGTCATGAAGAGTTTTTCAAGTTAAATCAAGCACATAATATGTTGTCAAACAAAGCAACAGAATTGCGTAAGACATGAGGAATGTCAGGTGAAGAAATGGGGGGGGGGGATATTTAGTCCTGAAAGGATTCCACTCACCAGACATCTTTCATCTTATAGACATGCATTTGTGATCCTGATGGGGGTACAATCACATTTTTTTAAAAAGTAATGATGGGTTCAATTTTGGAAATGAGAAACTTTGCCACCAATGTCAGACTGGACATCCCAAAGTTAGGAAATGCCCAGCAATGGCAAAATTAACAGTTAATACATCTAAAAGTCTTAACTAAATTTATACAACAATGGCTACTCTATATATTAACGCCACATAAGGCAAATTTAAATACTTAGTGAATTATTAAGTGAATGAACTGTGAGGTAAAGATAGAAACCAAAAACAATCTTAAGTGTTTATAAATATTTTGATGTTGTGTACGACTGGAGAGAATTTGGAATTCAATACTCTTTTACTCAGACTTAAAATTATTTTAATTGTTTTATTAATTTTTATTTTTATTTCTCCCTTTTTGCTTCTTTTTTACAGGATTGTGTTCATTTATAATGACAAAAGTGGTAACAATATAAATAATAATGCCTAGACTTTTCCATTTCTTAAAATGTACAGTAATGAGTTTTATATGTTCAACTAATTATTTAATGAAATGCATTTTAAAACTTACAATTTTAAAATCTCTGTTTATTCGCAAATATTTCATCTTGCATCTATGTACTTTTTGCTTTTCATATAGAAAGAAATAAGAAACATTTCTCATTAAATGTTTTAAAATCAATTTCTAAAAAAAAACAAAAACAAGAAATGAGTCAGAGAACTTTTCAACACTTCCTCACTTGAGTTGATATTCTGTTTCATCCAGGTAGACCTCATTTAAAGATGGTAATCACTAAACAACGCAGTTTTAAAGCACATGATTGCACTACTTAGCAACAGCACTTTCTGTTGCTATTGTTAAGCAAATCCTGGGACATCACTAAGTGTGATGTCACACACTATTTGCTACTTTCTGCAGCTTCTTATTGACTTTGCTTCTTGGAAGCTGGCCATAAAGGTTGCAAATGGCAATCCCAGGATTGTTCTACAATACATGCTTGTGAGGTGGTTGCCAAGCACTAAGATCATAAATACAAGACCACAGGAAAGCTGCAATAGTCACAACTACAAGAGACAGTCATAAACACCCATCATTCAGCACCATTGCAAGTTCAAATGTTACTGAGTGAGCGGTTGTTAAGTGAAAATTACCTACATTGTCATCAGCAATATTTTTAAAAAAATTAAGAAAAAGAGTCAAATGTAAAATTTAAAATAGAAAATGAGCCCAAATGCAGGGAATGCTTGTTCTTTTCTTTGCTCAAAGGGTAAGAAAATATGCTACTTAAGCAAAACCAACCACCTCCTCCATTTTAGAAGAGGAACTCTCTAAATCAGGGATCCCCAAATTCTTCAGCTCATCAATACCTTCACAAAATTTCAAATTGTTAATCAACCCACATTTATAATATGAAAGTGATTTAATACATGCTATTCATCTATTGGACTATGCAACAAACCATAATAATAATCAATAAAGAACAAAAGGCAAACAGTGACATACAAAAATGGAAGATCAGGTTGGATAATGAGATCAGCAAGCAAGATAGAATAGATGAAAGAAAAGAGGCTGAAGAATAAGAAACCAAAGAAGATTTGATCAAGAAATATCACCTAGAAATGAAAAAGATCAAGGAAAGACTGGAAATAATAAAGCAGCAAATAATACCTATTGTCCAGAATTACAGCAGATACAAAACTAGGATTGCAAATTATATGCAGAGTCCAATCAGAAAGATTTTTACCAATCCATTAATGGAGAGACTGCAGTGGACAGTCAACTCCTGACAGGAGTTTTGGACGCAGATGTAGGATAACTTAGAGAAATACAACAAGAACACAGCTAGTTAAAGGTAATAGATAAGAATAAAAAAGAAGCTGAAATGAAAAAAAACTTGTAATAATAGCAGCAGAAATATTGGAGAAAAGAGCAAGAAAGATCAGGAAATTATCAGCACTGGGTGAATATGAACCCTATGGATTTTGGTTGAAACATTTGACTAGTTTATAATCACTCATTGCCAAGCAATTTAACAACATACTGCTAAGAAGTGAAATTGAAGAATGACTAACATCTGAGAAAACCTACCTGAAAATGAAAGAACCAGCAAAAGGAGCTTCACCAGGAAACAATAGCTTGATTACCTGCTTATCAACAACTTCCAAATTGCTAACAGGTGTGATAGCTCATACATTCCAGTAGCATCTAGTTGAAAACAAGTTCTTTCCACCTGAACAGAAAAGAAACCACCCAAACAGGCGAGGAACGAAAGATCAACTCCTAAATATCAAGATGGTTTTTGGAAAACAGTAAGAGGAAGAAGATCAACTTGACTTGGATTGATTATTTGAACCTTATGACTATCATTAAGTGTTGTAACTTATGATTCTTGACAAATCAATTATTTTTCATTGAGTAACACTATCAGTATGTGCAGTCAAGATATTGCAGTGGGGTTTGGACTGGACAAATGTGGCATACTAAGCATTAAATGGGGGAAATAGTGAAAACTACAGGAATCAAGATAGACTATGGAAATAACATCAAGAGTCTGGATGAAGATGATCTCTACAAATACCAGCACATCTTTCAAGGTAACAACATAAAGCAAACTGAAGTTAAGAAAAATGTTAGAAATGAATACATCAAGTAAGCGAAAAAGATCTTAAAGCCCAAAACCAGTGGAGGAAACACCATCGAAGCAATTAACAACTAAGCAATTCCAGTCATTAGATACATAGTTGGAATAATGGACCAGCTCAGAATTAAAAGCCCTGGATAGGAAGACAAGAAAAATAATGATAATGAATCCTACCCTTTGTCCTTACAGTGACATTGACAGACTCTACTGACCAAGGAGAATAGGTGGGCATGGAATGTTGTAACATCAGATCGTTGAAGAAAAAAAATGACATTGGAAGAATATCTGAAGGATATGAAAAAGTTGCTCTGACTCTAGTTAACCAAATAGGTTTACTGACTACAGAAGGGGCCAAATTGGCCTAGAAGAAAGGCCAAATGAAGAACAAGAAAGAGACATAGGGAGACAAGTATGATATGGCCAGTATATTAAAAAAAAACCCAACCAAAGATGGAAAACAAGAGCTCACAATGGAAAACTGAAGAAAAAGACATAGAGGCTGATCCTGGCTGCACAAGACCAAGCCTTAACAAATGCATACAAAGGCAGTACTGCAACAGATAAGTACTACCTCTGCCAAGAAACTAAAGAAACAGGGAACCACTTGGTTAGCTCCTTCAAGAAGATCACATAGAGCAGAGGTATCAAGGCCCAGGGGTCTGGCCCACAGGATGCTTAGATTTGGCCCACAGGGCTGCCCTGAAAACAATGAAGGACCAGCCCACAGTGCCTCTGCCAGTAAAAATGGAGCTCAGACAGCTCTCCCGAGCTCCATTTTTGTTGGCAGAGGGTTGTAGGAGGCTGACACAGCTGAAAACAGAGCTCAGGAGCTGTTTTCATTGGCACAGCACTCTGGCCACCAGAGGCACCCCAACACGAGTGATGTTGAGCTGACTACACCTACTATGGCTACATCCACCCTGGCCGCACCCACCCCAGCCTCCCAAGGTCAAATACAACATTGATGTGGCCCTCAATTATATTGAATTTGATGCCACTGACATAGACTGACTACAGGCAACGGCATGACAAAGTGACAACAATAGTGCATTGGAAGAAATACCATTTGCCTGCTAGCAAGAATTGGTGGGACCATAACATTATAGGAAGTAATAGAAAATGAAGAAGCAAAATTGCTCTAGGATTTCAGAATTTAAATAGACACCTGCCACATAACACCCCAGAGTTAACAATTGTCAATAAGAAAGACAAAAAAAATCTGATAATGAATGTGGCAACACCTGGAGACAATCGAGTAAAAGAGAAGAAAATGGAGAAAATAACAACATTCAAAAACCTGCAAAAAGAAATAGAATGATTGTGGCAAAAGAAAACCAAGGTAGTTTCAATAATTATGAGCACCTTAGATGCAATCCCAAAACAACTGGCATACTACTTGAACCATTAGCATCGACAAAATCACCATTGGTCAGTTGCAAAAGGCAGCTTTACCCAGAACAGCTTACATTTTGCGATGACACTTCTAAAACCATCAAATGTCAACTTCTGCCCATCCAAGGTCTTTGGGACTCAATGGGGGGACAAAAGTATCAAATCCAGTCTGAATATCTGGTTGACTGCAATGAAACATATAATAATAAATAGTCCCATCAAACCCTGAGGGTTAACAGTAACCACTTTGGAGAACTACAGTGTTAATCCTCATATCTTACACAACCTTTTTTGGGGTTTTGCAGTGTGTTCCGACAGAAGCGGAATATAGAACTTGTAAGGATTAGTTTGGAGAATCAGGCAATTCTTAAAAGACTCCGAGATAGAAAAGCAACCTATGACAGGAAGGAGTACGAAAAGGATTGGCAGGCAAGTGCATTCTTCCCTATGGTTTCAAAAGTTCAGCCTTCCATGTTTCACCAGTAGAGCAATTTAAGAATTTGAAGGCCTTTATTAGTGTAACAACAGCTTTCTCCAACCTGGTATCCTCTATATCAATGTTTCTTAATATTGGCAACTTTAAGATGTGTTGACTTTCAGCTTCCAAAATTCTGAGAATTGAAGTCCATACATCTTAAAATTGCCAAAGTTGAGGAACTCTGCTCAATATGGGTCAGACATCAATTCCCATCATCCCCAACCATCTGGAAGATGCCATGTTACAGAGATCTAAGAATATTCTCACAAGTGAAACAATGGAGGTCAGCAATATAGCAAGTTTAATACATAAAAGTAGAAATAAGTTTTAAAAGAAGACAAAATATACAGTCTTTTCTCTTTGTGCCACTGTACTCGCCCAATTTGCTTCTTCCACCCACCCCAGTCTGAACAGTAACAACACAGAGATAAAAGACAGACTGTAACCTCATGCTGTGATCTCTGTTTGACAGCTGAACCAATTTATTTTTGGTTCATCTGAGGAGTTCTTTGAAACCGAAGTAAAACTAATCTTTTCTTTGAAATACTGTGGCTGAGTAGAACTTGTGGGCAATCTGTTTGTCAATTTGCAAGAATATTTGCTTCACCTCACCATCTAACTTCTGGACAGGAAGAGTAAGTAGGTCCTATCAGGCCTTTCAAGGGGAAGCGTGACTTGATGGCTTTGCAGAACCACAACACAAGCACAGATCAGTTTGCAACAGTTTCAGATAAATGCCCACAACTAAAATTAGGAGGGCATAGCGGTGTTTCGGTGACTCCTTTACCCTTAAGATTCTGAAACTGGTTGAAATGTCTTCACTCTGCTTTTGATCAATTAGGGGATGGAACAACAGAGTTGTAAACATGCCTCTATATGAGGGCATTGGTGCAAGCTGAAGCAGCATTAAATTCTCCCATTCTAAAAGCAATCACACTGAAACTAGAAAATAAGTTGACCCTAGGACTTTGATTAAAAGTTGTCTAATCTCTACATATCCAAGCAATAAAAATAGATTTCTTCTAACCTCATCAGCGCTGTAATTCCCCTTCTAGCACTTGAGGATGCCATCATTTGGGATGATGGGGAAGAAGGAGAGTTAGGGAGAGCCAATTTCTGACGTTCTTATGTAGGAGGCAAATGATCTTACTCTGTTATTAGCAGCAAGGGCGGTACAGGGTTTGCATCCTCCGTGTCACCTTGGAACTTTCTCCCCTCCTCCTTAGTCTTGTTAGGGTAAAATGCTGCCAGCCTAAATTTCTTTGCAGGAATTATAATTGCTTCCTAGAGTCAAGCAGCATCTCCTTAATGTCAACAAGCCTCCCACAGACCCTAGAAGCAGGCAGATGGCCCAGCTGCGACTTTTGTCTTAGGGAAAAAAATGTTGCTGCTTTGTTTCTCATATGAGAACAGAGACTGCAGAGTTGCTTTGTTATCACAGATTTTCTGCTGGAACTTCTAGGCAGTGTTTGGATGACATACTTCCTAATGGTTACTTCAAACAGGGTTTACTTGTTTGACCCAATTTTCTGATTTGGGACATCACACTAGACTAAAATGTGATTGATCAATTTGTGAATTGATGTATCGTATAAACATAGCCCAGTTTTCGTCTTTCTTCCACATCTACGGCATTCTACTGTATATCTCATCTAAACCCTTTTGCTTGATCTTTCTTTGCTGGTGTGTTTTTCTTCTTTTTAAAGCTGATTTGCTTAAAAAAACATCATTGAAAACCAGTAGTCAGACCTTCCATTCTTCAATGGATAACTTAACTGTTACCCAAAATCCTGAAAGCCCCACCCCACCCAAAAAAAAATCTCTATGGGAAATCATTAAGAATCTTTCCTTGTCTATCAGAAGACTTTTGGCCCTTGACTGCAATTCATCACAGGGACAGAGGCAATTAGTTAAGGTTTTAGTATGTTAAGGTTCTGATGAATCACTCAGTATCCATATCCCATATATCTATGAGAATACATCCAATTCCCATTTAACACACAGCTCTTTGTGGTAACATTTCACAAGAATCCAAAATAAATTCATTATTTTACAGCAAGGAGAAGCTGAAAGGGGTTAATTTATGGTCAATAGAATTGCAAATGAAGATCCTTCTCACTTCAACTTTGCTATTTGCAAAAGAGAGAGAGAAAGTTTGGCATAGTGAATTAAGCCATCAAGCTAGAAACTGGGAGACGGGGAGTTCTATTCCTGCCTTAGGAACAAAACCAGATCAGTGGGTGATCTTCTCCAAACATAACTCTTCAGGCCTAGGAAAAAGGAAGTATGGCAAACCATTTCTAGATCTTGCCAAGAAAACTGCAGGAACTGGTTCAGGCGGTCAGCAGTCTTTGAAGTGGCCATGAAAAAAATTGCTAAAACTGATGCAAGGTAGTAAGATATTGTAAGGTGTTTCAGCTGTTCTCCCAGACTACTGTGTCATCACAGTCATTTTTTTTTTATTGTGTTTTCTTCTGTAGAATTCCAGGAGTTATATGAGAAACACTTCTCGTTTTCCAGTACCAAATCAAGAGTAAGTATAAAACACTACTAGACCAAGATCTTTTGGATAGGGATGTGGCTTTGCATTTATTTTAGGGCTACTGTGGGATAGGTTAGACCTATGATGACAAACCTATGGCACATGTGCCGGAAGTGGTGCGCAGAGCCACTTCTGCCAGCACGCGAGAGGTCGCCCAGAAGAGCCCCACTGCGCATGCCAGCTGATCACCGCCAGCTGATTGTTGGGTATCTGCCACACATGCACAAGGGAGCAGGGTGCGGGGGAGACGTGCACACATGCACAGAGACACACAGCGAGTGGGGGGGGTCACATGCGCATGGGGCATAGGGGGGCAGCACACGTTGCCTTCTGGGTGCTGGCACATGAGCACACACACAATTTTTGGCACAGGAGCTGAAAAAGGTGAGCCACCACTGGGTTAGACTGTGCTAAAGACATTTTTCTGGACTCTTGCCAGTTTCCCTGCAATCAGTCTTTTTCTCAAATCATAATATCAATAAAAATAATAAAAATAGAGAAGTTGGGGAATTGCTAAAATAACTGGGGGTGGGGGGCGTGGCTAGCCCTCTAGCATACCTTTATTTCCTAGAATGCTGCATGCTCGTCGCATAGGCTCTCTCAGAAAAGAAGAGTGATGGTGAGAAAAGGTGCGCTCTTCTGCCCCTCCAGATGGACACTGAGGATGATAGGACATCTGGATGGGAGAATGAAGAACCAGCACCTCTTCAGCTGCTAGTGTTTGACTAGGTCCATCATGCATACAGGCTTGACCCCTGGCTTCCCTCTACAACAGCAATCTTTGGAAGGTTGCTGCAATATCCATTCAAATGATACATTGTCCACTTTTTTTGTTTTTGTTTTATTTTCTCCCAAATCAGACAGAGGCATGAAAATGTCACCATTATGAATGTTTTCTAACAAAAATCCAGATCTGAAATGGCTGATCTTACAGAAAATTGTTAGAATGATGAGTGGGGAGGGGGAAGGTCTATATGTGGTGTAGATTTCTTTTGCCTAGATGTATAATAAAAGTTTTAAGGGCATGTTGTGGATGCTTCTGCAAAATGATTACTAGGTGCTGAAGCAGCATTTCTCAACCTCAGCAATTTTAAGAAGTGTGAAACTTGGAACATACTGGCTGGGGAATTCCGGGAGTTGAGGTTCATACATCTTAAAGTTGCTGAGATTGAAAAACATTGAGTTGAATGGATTTATACAATGAGATGGTTACTTACAAACAGGGCCAATTGGAGGCAATAGGTCAAGTAAGCACTGGCTTAGGGGCACCAAATTTTAGGTGGTACCAAAAACTGAAAAGATTTCCAAAAAGAAAATGCAATTAAAAAGAAAATGCAGTAATATTGCACTCCATCAACCAGCATTCCTGTTTAAGGCTTAAATATAATTTTGCACTATTGTTATGCTATATGACATAAATTATATGATATAATTACAATTACTGTGTAAGTAGGGTGAAAATATCCCAAGAAAAGAAAAAAGAATTTTCTGGGACTGGAAAAATATAACTATAAAGCTCAGAAAGTTGGAGAAATAAAAGAAGTAAGATGGCATTTGAAATTCCTTACAGAATTGGAAGATGAGTCAAGTCATTTGGTGCCTAAAGTGTCAAAATGTCTAAATCTTAAATCAGACATTGGGGGGGGGGGGGTTAAAAAAAAAGTCAAGATAGGGGCCACGCCCACTCAACCAAAGCCCTACCCATGTACAAAATGTGTGATTGGGGGTCTTTGATTATATTGCTATCGAGACCATCTTGGCTTTCTTGACACACACACCCCATGGAGAACTCTATGAATCATTAATTTATCAAAAAGCTACCTTCAACTCTCTTGATTCTCCCTTCCTATAATATATATGGTTCCACTTTTTTATAGTTCCTGCTTTCTTTTATTCTTTTTTTTTGGGGGGGCAGGGCAGTACATTTCCAAATTCTGTTCTGCCCTTCAACCATCTAGGATTTCTATTTTCTGAGAAAGATTGTAGGGTCCATTGGAGTCAATAGTATTATTGCAAATAAAGAAGGAAAATGGTGGTGCTTTGCTTAGCAGAAGTCAGTTTGTTTTTTTAGAACAAAATTGTTTGTAAATATATAAAAATCTGATGATAAAGAAAATCTAATGATTAGCAAGATAAGAGTTTGTCCCAAGACTTGTTGGGGCTCTCAGGCTTACGGTGCAGCAGCTTTAAAATAGTGACCTGAGGGGACTTTGCATGTGGAACCAAAATCTTGTCCCCAGGATGCTTCCAATTCAATGGCTTATCCAGAAGCAACTATTGTATCATAGTGGAAGCTTTGTACCTCATATTCCAAGCATTAATTAACTCTTTGAAATTGAATATTTTTCTGTGACCAGGCGGTTATTTTTAAATGTTTAAGTTTGTGAGTTAAATATATGGTTGTCTGTCCCTGAATAAGAAAATAACTAGTATTTATTCATGCCAGAGTGAATTCTTGAAAATCAACATCTCTAGCTCATACATAAGTCTGCCTCCTCCTCAAGAATTCATTGCTGATGATTTGCATCCTGTCCCCAACCTTCCCTTTTAAGATGGTTCAAAGGATCCTGGGGGAAGCAGATTATCTGGAACCTGCGTTCAGACCAGGACATAAAGACAGCATTAGTTACACTTAAATGTTGACCATTGGAGGGAATCAGGATTGCGAAGTGAATGCATCCATCCTTGCCCTCCCAGATCTCTCAGCAGCTTTTATAACATTGAGCCTGGTTTCCTTCTGAACTGGCTAGTGAGCTGCAAGTAAGATATGCAATATTGCAATGATTCTCCTTCCTCCAGGCAGCTCTAATTGCCATTGGGAAGGGAGTATCCGAGACTCCTATTTTGTGGGGGTACTCAGGGCTTTCCCCCCTTTTCCTTAACTCCTACCTGGAACCATGGAGGAGGTCATCCTTTGGCATGGAAAGTAGTATCATCAGGATGTTGACGATACCCAATTATATATATTGGCTCCTGGCTGATCAAGTGATGTTATCAAGGATCTCTCCCAATGTCTGGAGGCTATGGGAGTCTGGATGAAGAACCCAGAATGACTGGAAGTCTGTTGGCTTTGCATCCACACACACACATGCATGCACACAAGGGAGGGAGGGAAAGTGTGTATGTCCTGGACCTAGAAATATGCTTATCTCTGGAAGGAGGGGCTGCTGTGCTCAGAACCAGTGTGCAATTTTGGGGCTTTCCTGTTCTCAGCTCCTCAAAATGCAAGTGATGACTATGTTCAGGAGGACCTTCACACAACTTCATCTTGTATGTCAATTATACCTGTTCCTGCATTGGGAAACCCTATTGGCTATCACTCTTGTCTTTGTTACCTCCCAGTTGTACTATTACGATGAGTTCTACTTGGGGCTTCCCTTAAAAACAATCCAGAAGCTTCAATTGGTCCAAAACACACCAGTGCAGATAGCATAGGCACAGCTTGATATGTCTAAGTAATACCACTACTTTCTGAACCAAATGGGCTCCACGTACATTTCAAAGTGCTGGTCATGGCACATAACGGCAAGACCATTTTTCTCCAATTGTTTCCACCTGTTCTACATGCTGGAATACGACTGGAACACTTCAGGTCCTTTCCTTATAGTAATGTCATCTAATGGGACCCTAAAGGTGGGCCTTTTTTGTTGCACCTGCTTTCTGGAATGATTCTCTGTCCCACCTCAAAATACAGCTGACCTCAGCCCTGTTGACTTTTAGAAATATTTTGTTTCACAGGCATTGGGATCAAGATAATGGGATTTGCAACCTAGAGAAATGTAATGCATGTTGTGGGATCCTGATTGCTTATTAACTATAGTATTTATTACTTTATGTCTTTTGCTTCTTATTAATGTATGCAACCTAGAGTCACTTTTCTCCAGGTCTGATGGCTTTATCAATCCAATAAGTAAATAAACAAATCCTCTAGAGAGGGTTGCAAAATTAAGAGGGGAATTCACCAGTTTTTTCCTGTCCCAATTTATGATCTTCTATGATGTGCAATAGGCATAGTAGGAGGGTGTGTGCCCACAGATCCCTGATGGCACAAGAGATGTCTGTAGTTTGCTATTTTGTTGCAAGAATGGGAGATGGTCAGAGGTTGAGTTATATTCACTATAGACTAGGATGATGTTCTTTAGTGCTCCTCCTCTTAGGAACTGCACGAGATGAATCTTCATGTAATTTCTGAAGCATTATAGAGAAAACTGGCCTGCAAGAAAAAAAATTGCTTCTGTAGAGGGGAAAATTCCAGCAATGCTCAGAATCTGATAGCCAAAGAATGAGCCATGTACCGTCCACCTTGTCTTCCCATAAGACTGCCTTTATTCTAGGAGAGTGCTTGCATTCATACCCAAGATAGTGTCCATAAAGGCTTTTGAATCTGTCAGGTTGGCTTCTCCATAAACCCCCTTGTGGATTTACCATGGCTTTGACTGAAACCTATTTATTAACTGGGAATTGAATACAGTAGATTCATCTTCTACAATCTTGGCACCTTTTTGAAGTCTTGATCCTAGAAACATCCCAGTTCTTGCTGTAGCCCTTGAACATTCTGGAGTTTGCAGCTAACATTATCTAGAAATGCCAATTTGGAGAAAGGTTGCCTTAGACCTATTTTTGTTCTGACCAGTATGTCTAGAACAGGGAAAAAAAAGTTGCCTTAATGATTTAGGGCAGTGATTCTTAACCTCAGCATGCTTGCTGGGGAATCTTGGGAGTTGGAAGTCCACCCATCTTAAAGTTACTGTGCTTGAGAAAACCTGATTTAGAATACTGCATGGCCATATTCATATCGCCATCTTAATTTTATTCATATTAATCTATTTTCTGGGCTCACATAATATACACTGACATGTAAACTAACCCATATAAAGAATTGAGTTTACATATCTGACAAAGCAACCAAAACCTAAATAAGCCTATCATACTGTGCAAATACACAAGTATTTTACTGCAAAAACTTTCAACTGGTTTGTGTACATTTAGTGCTACCTTTACTGAACTGGTGACCTCCAAATTTATTAGGAGTGCTACTCTGCCCATCTGCTTGATGGAATTCTGAGAATTACAGCCCCAGTGCACTTAAAAAGTACATCCATATTATTGCTAGTACTTCTGGTAAGTCATATACAATGTATGACAGCCAGTTTGGTCTAATGGTTACAAGGCACAAGGCTAGAAACCAGAAGGCTGTGCTTCTAGTCTTCCCTCAGGCATGAAAGCCAACTGGGCCACTTTGGGCTATTAATTCCCAATCCAATTCATCTCACGGGATTGTTACTAGGGGGAAATAGACTTGCAGGCTTGAATTATTTATAAAAATAATAAAGGTAGGATGAATGAATCAATGAATATTCTAAAGGCTAAATACATTCTTCAGCCAAAAGAACCTTAGAACCATCGCTGAAGGATCTTCAGGAAAGCTTGGAGACCAGCAGTCTAACCGAATTGATTGAACTTCCTAATGCACTAACTTTAAAGTGGTTTTCTGCCTTTATCTGGATTTGATTTATATAGAGTCTGTCTGGGAGGGAAATCAATCGATGAAGCTGTTAATACAATCCTCCAGTTGCTTCTTTAAAATGTGAATTTCTAGAATGCCTAAATATCGTAACATGTCTCTTTTACATTTATTGCAGGAAACTAAACAATGTGAGGAATGGCAAGCCACTTAGGACTACTCGAAATACACAGTCTAGCTGATTGTAACGTCAACACTTGCTGGCATCTTCATTAAGGTTTTAGAATAAAACAAGTGGCGATGAAAAGGCATATCTATTTATCTATCTGTTATGTTTGCAAGAATCAACGTGCATTCCATACACACAGATCAAACACAGGAGCTTTCAAATTTTCGGAAACCAACATGGAAGCTGTGGAAAGATCAATTCTTATCAAGAAAGACTGCAGATGAATAGCTGACATGCCTCTGCAAGATATTTCCCACATGATTTCAAAATAGGTTGCCTTTTTCAAGATGTTCAGCAAGATATAAATTCTTTGTGGGGCTTTTAACCTTTTGAGACTGACTGCATAATCCCTCTTTTCAATCCACTTCCAAAAATAGTAGTCAACACTACTACTTGTCCTACATAAAATATCCTACTGCACATTTACACTAGTTTTGTTCTTATAGAAGTGAAACTAGGGACAGGTCAAAAGAATTACAACCAGAAAAGGCAGAAGTTCATCTATATTACAAATACATGAGCAGAACATGATTTAGGGAAATAGTAAGCAGGCAAGAATGCCATGAGCAATTCAGGCTAACCTTGTTTAAAGCACTTTTCTTTTAGAATATATTTTACAGTATTGGCATGAGCAGACAGCTGAATGTGTGCTTGCTGCAGATACTTATTTGTGGGGGGAGTAAAAAGTTATTTCCAAATAAGACACATAACAATATAAATATGGAAATATCCAATTATTAAGAATCCAAAGTTACTTAGCTGCCTTAATGCACAGTCTTAATGCACAGATCAGGAATCTGCAGTCTGAATGCACAGATCAGGGAAAATGAAAATAAAAGAAAAAAATGGAGGACAAATCTTAAACATTTTTAAAGAAATATTGGGTTGGATTTTACTTTCATAATGCATGCTATGTAGGTAAGTTGGCATGAAGAGGTAGAGATGATAGTCCAAGTAAGGTGACTAAAATGGAAAAGAGAAAAAGATAGAAATTCACCACTTCTCAATGGCTAGATATTACTACTACTACTACTACTACTACTACTACTACTACTACTACTACTACTACTACTATGGTACCACTACATTCCACTTCCGATAAGCTGGTGACTGCTTAGAGTTTTAAAAGAGATTTGGAGAGTGCCAAATTACAGAAGACCAATGTAGGTCTTGTTGACTTCCATAGATTAAAACAAAATTAACTACTATACAATCATTTAGCCACACTGACTCCCTAACTTCAGTTTTCCAATATAAGTTCCCCCAAACTTTTTCTCTTCTCTATACCAGCCTAAAACTCAGAAATAGAGGGGAATTCCCATGCATTTGCATACCAGAGCTAGGCTTTTGTGTTTTATGTATATACAATTGAAAACATCCCACATGTTGGAAAAGGGTAGGGGATTTTTTTCATTGTAAATCTTTTCTGTGAGATTGGCTGTATTCTCCAGCAGCTTCTTTGCATCAAACAAATATTTTCTGGGGGTGGGGTGGGAAATATAAAAGGTAGCTGTTTTCATGAAGGCAGCTAAGTTGACATAACAATGAATATTGAAATAAGCTCACCTTTAAAGTTGTACTTTCCTGCAATGGATAGAAATTGTATATTCAAAAGGAGAGGAAACTAGCTATGGGTCAAATGTTAGAAAGAGAGTGCAGGTAAATTAAATCAAGAGGTTCTCATCTTAAAAAATTCTCTGAAAAACTGCATGTATTAAATGCATAAATTCATTGTATTATCCCAGATACAACAAAGTGAATTATTTAAAGAAGGAACTCATCAGTCAGGAGCACTGCTGGCATAGAAGCCACTCTTCTGCATAAAAACAATTTTAAAAATATTCTAGTCGCACACATATGTACTATTAAAGAGTTTTGAATATTCTAGCTGCATTCATGCACTGCTAAAAAGAATTTTTTTTGCCTTGCTACTGGCACCCACCCTCACGCACAATTTACACAATGGGTTGTTGTGGTTTGGTATCAAAGATTTGGCAATTTTTTTTCTCTTCAAGGAGCATCTTCTGTACCAATTTGTCTTCTGAAGAACACTAGAAATTACCTGTGATAATAAATCATATGCAATAATGAACTGATTAGCCTGTTAATTATTATTTTTTTCTTGCAAAAGTCTAACGCTCTTTACCATGGCTTTGACTGAAACCTATTTATTAATCGGGAATTGAATACAGTAGATTCATCTTCTACAATCTTGGCACCTGTTTGGAGTCTTGATCCTAGAAACCTCCCAGTTCTTGCTGTAGCCCTTGAACATTCTGGAGTTTGCAGCTAACATTATCTAGAAATGCCAATTTGGAGAAAGGTTGCCTTAGATCTATTTTTGTTCTGACCACTAAGTATGTCCAGAACAGGAAAAAAAAAGTTGCCTTAATGGTTTAGGCAAAGGGGAATTTTTATTTTAGGCATGAGAGGTTCAGAGAGAAATTGGGAAGGTGGGATTCCTTGCATTCCAAGCTATATGTCTCTCTCCCACACTTGTAAAGGATAAATGCAATTACCATATTATACCACATACATACAATATATAAAGTGAACATATACTTTCACCTTTTGTCAGGTGCTAGCTAAATCTCTCAAACCATACCAGCCTTTCACATCAACGACAATGTATCCTAGAATCTTGTTTCATTCACAGAAAGATAAATAAAAAAGATAAATAATGGTGAGCTGGCTGATTTCTAGATAAGTTCAGCCTAGTATTATCAGCCTTAATGATATGTCACTCAAAGCACAAATGACCAGGCTCAAGTTATGCTACTTTGGACATATGAAGACATCTAGTTCTTGGAGAAGCCGTAATGTTGAGAACGATGAAAGAAAAGGAAAGACAATGACCAGCAACTAGGAAGATGGACTCAGTTACAGCAGTGACGGATTACACTATTGGAAGGTCTGAAGAACTACAGTGTCCTGGGAACAGATCCACCTGGAAAAATTATCTATATGGTTGCTAAGAACTGACACCAACTTGATGGCCCATAATCAGTCAATCAATATCATTGATAATTTTTTTTAACAAAGTCCCAACTTTCTTCACAATTTTAAAACTACAGAATTAAATAAGTACATCAATAATTTCTGCTTCAAAAGACAGACTGGTAAGAAATGCTGTGGTTAAGATATAGAAGAGTTCTAGGAAGATTGATTATTTTTCTTTCCAATGGGAAATATTTTCTTTACAAAGAAATGCACAAAAAACAGTGGGACAGAAAAAACAGTACATAGAACAAAAGAAAAATACAGATAAGTCAAGCCCTTTCTTACAAGAACCCCCCCTTTTAATCTCTAAAGCAACATTATCTGCAAAAAATTATCATTCTACAAGAAGAATTAAACAAAACAAAGCAAGACAGACGTATGTGCTTATGATGCACCAATCATATTGAATATGGAGTTCTGGAAAAGGCTGTGGTGCTTTAGAGTTCTGATGTTCCTTCACCTCAATTCTTAGAATTGAAAGATGTTCCACTTCAAATGTTTATCAAGTCCAGAAAAGCAAACAAAAATTATACATTTTCAATCATTGGAAGAACTGAAATTTTGCTTGGCTTTTAAAGTGAATTTCTGGATGTTGAACTCTGCATCCAATTCAATGCTTACACAGAAAATCCAGTATTATGCTAGTCACGACAGGCTTGGACATTGGATACTCCTGATTCCCCAAAATCTTCAGCTATCATTCTGAAAGGTTGAGCTTATGTCAAGCATCCTTTGCATTTTTAAAAATTCAGACCACTTGCCTAAGTTAAAACTTATCTAAAATGGGTAACTGACTAGCCTACAAAATAGACCTCAGCATTTACAGCCCATGACAATGCAGAAATAGAGGAAAAATGCTTCTTCAGCTCTTCTCATGAGAAATTTGTGGGTCTTTGATTAGAACTGAGCCACTTTCCAATGCCTTGACTTCATAATTTAACACATTATTTAGGCAGTTTACTGAGATAATCCCAGGAGAAAATTCCACTAAGACATTGATGTCTCAAAATATTGTTATGGAGAGAGAATATACAGTATGGCTAATTTTCCACACAAAATTATTAAAGCCTTTGCAAGATTTATCAGGAAGATTTATCTTTTAGTAAAGTATAAACTGTCACTTTTAATTGCTCTTCTGATTCTGCTTGGTCAACCAACAGGAGGACGGGGGAAGGTTTATGTTTATGTTATCTGATATTATAACCCTTAATTGAAGGACTCTCTCATTTATTATTGATTGTGGAAGTTTCAGAGTTTGCGTATTTTGCTCTGTAATGTTTCCCAGCTATTTAATTTTTGTGAAATTGACCACAGTTTGAATTTCAGTCACAGAGCTTGAAACAGCATTCAAATATCCAGAACTGCTGTCTAAAAGGACTCACACATACCCTAGATTGTATCGTGCAATTTTTCATAACATTCTTGTAGAGGAAGCGATTAGTCAGAATATGGTTTTAGTTGCAGACAGATTTTCTTTCCAGCTTTTCAAACAAGCTGGCGGCGGCTGCAGCATTTTCCCTTTTTAACCATCCATTCTATTTACAAATTATTATTATCAAACAGGAATAAATCTTCTTTTTTGGCATAACATGGCTGACTACAACTTAACCCAAGAGACAGGCACCCAAAAACAGTCTGAGTTCAGTTTCTCCAATATGGTTTTCAATTGGCTGCAGGCACTCTGGAGATCTTCCTTCACCAGGACAGTATCGATTAAGTGGCCATATTGTTCCTCAATAAAGGCTGCTGAGTTCACCATCTCTTGCTGCTCCTCATCCTGCAGAATGAAACAGAAAAACAATAGGAAATGACTCTTGTGACCTTTCAGCATGGTTCTTTAGAAATTGGTTTTGAGCTGCAACACCCTTTTGGCACTTCCTAAGGGGGAAAAAAATCCCATTGGGTAATTCTTCTACAGCAAGTAGATTTGATTAGTGAAATTTAGCACAGGTAGCAAGTACAACAAGTAGTAAGTACTACAGGTAAGTACTTGATTTATAACAAATGGGATCAGAATTTCTGTTGCAAAAAGAAGATGGTTGTTAAGTGAATCACACCCAGTTTTA